GGAGCCCATGTAATGATGACAGCAGTTATTTCAGTGATTGATTCTGAAATTAAAGTGAGCTGGCAAATTAAACACCAGTACATCTAGAGCTAGAAAACTGAGAAGAAGTTTTGGGTCCAGGGCATGTTAATTGCACATATATTGAAATAAATGGGGAGAGGAGTCAAAATGATCAGCAACTGCAGCCAACTATTACAATACAGTGGTACCTCTGGTTACGAACTTAATTCATTCTTGAGGTCCGTTCGTAACCTGAAACCGTTCTTAACCTGAGGTACCACTTTAGCTAATGGGGGCCTCCCACTGCCGCCGCTGCGCAATTTCTGTTCTCATCTTGAGGTAAATTTCTTAACCCGAGGTACTACTTCTGGTTTAGCGGCGTCTGTAACCCGAAGTGTTTGTAACCTGAAGTGTTTGTAACTCAAGGTACCACTGTACTGATGAGCTGTAGATACCTTATGACTGCTTGATGCTCCAACATTCATAAATCAGTAGGGGTTTCCAGTTTCACAGTAGATTAGAGAGTGGTGGTTTTTATGAGGTCATATATCCCAGCAATTTTGTACTCGCTGTTGACCAGCTCAGACCATTTCCTTCATGAGTGATGTTGTTTATGGACAACAATGCATTCTAAGCTACAAAAGTGGTGAGGAACAAACATTTAATTCAGGTTTGTTTCTAGTGGAATAAATCCAGGTAAAACAGAAGTGATGGCGGAACTAATGCAACCAGGCTACAGACATTCATTGACATTCCAAGGTTTCAGGAGGGGAATTCGGAAAGACTTATTTAGTGTACCTCTCCTCATCTCTTTTTTTTGCCACTGACAGAAAAGGAGAAACACCAGTGAGCCTCTCAGCAGGTGGCCAACCAGGGGCCTCTCAGCAGGTGGCCAACCATGCCCAATCCTAATATCGCTCCAACCTGCAAGAGAGCAGGGCTCCAGTTACATGGAAGAGCTGGAGGAGGGATCTGATCTCCCTTACATTTCGTGACAGGTCATTTAACTACCAATACTAGAAGGCTACAGTTCTGTGTGCCTGTGAGAGTTGGTTGAGATGGGAAAGAATTTGTGTGGTTATCATTAATGGTCTATAGAAGCTGGGGATGTGCCTATTCCTGGACCCTTTTTAATTATGTGTGGCCCTAATCTCTGTCTTGTATAGTGTGACATTGGATGATGATACTAGCAGGGAGGACAGGTAGCAAGGAGTTGTGAAGATGTTGCCTCAGTTTCAGAAGTGATAGGCAGAGGAAATTATACTTGGAGTGGAGTGGCTGACCTCCATCTGGGGCAGAGACCTAGATTTTTGATCCATATCCTCATTTCAGCCCTCCTACTCTCCCAGAAGTTTCTGGTATCTTACCTGTTGATCCCGTTGGTTTGGTGTTATTGAATGCCAGGTCAGTCCATAATGAGATCATTATGGTTGTGGATGAAGGGGATGACCTGATGTGTATTACCAAGGCTTAGGTGGGTAAACCAGGTGTCCATCAGCTGTGCCCATCTGGGTACTCTGTGCAGCCCCCGACTAGAACGGGGAGTCAAGTGTGGTGGGGTGGTTGCAATTGTCCATAGAAGCACTATTTCTGCTACCAGAAAAGCTTTTGATATTGGGCTGGGTTTAGCAGGTCTGCCCTTGATGTGGGACCAGATTAAGGAAACAGTTGTTCTATCAACCACTCTGTGGCTCAGCAGAGCACTCTGTTGCTGACCGAGCTAGCTGAGGTGGTCTCTGGTATAGTGTTGGAAGACACCAGGATGATCAGAAATAATAATACCCAGGTCAGAAGTTACACTGGCCATGCATAGTTGTTTGGAGGATTGTGTCTGTGAATGTCAGCAGTGCCAGGAATGTGATTTTACATAAGTGATGAGAATTCTGTTTTGCTACAACAAATGGTTAATCCACAGGACATTTTTGTTCTTGTGGAAAATATGATTATCTATGAAACACAATTTATTTTGGCATTTGTAAATAGCTGTGATATGTTGCAGACACGATTCATTTTCTCTCTAACGGGCTAACAGAGACAAATCATGTTTTAAAATAACAGTGTTATCATTATTACATTATCAATCTCAAACTAGTGGTATAAAAACATTCCTTTTCTGCTTTCTTCTTGCCCTTTGAAGTATAATTTGTTCTGATTTATATCTCTGAAATCATTGCTATAAGCAAATTTATTACATCACTGGCAAAGACTGTAAAATATTTCTAGGTGCCTTTTATAGTAAGAAAAGGATGTAGTTGTGTCATCCTCCTATTGCATTTGAATGTATAACTTCGTATGTATGAAATAAAAAAATCCTTCCTGTAGCACCTTAAAGACCAACTAAGTTAGTTCTTGGTATAAGCTTTCGTGTGCATGCACACTTCTTCAGATACACTGAAACAGAAGTTGCCAGATCCTTCTATATATAGAGAAGGTGGGGAGGGGTATTACTCAGAAGGGTGGTGGGAATCGGAGATTGGCAGATAGCTGAGATGAGCCTGATGAGCCTGTTGACGACTCTTAACGACTGTAGTAGGTCTTACAGGAAAAGGCAAGGGGTGAGAAGGTGAGAAGTGGCTTAGTCATGTATAATGAGATAAGAATCCAATGTCTCTGTTCAGACCAGGTGTCTCCATTGTTTTAAGTTTGGTAATGAGTTGCAATTCAGCAGCTTCTCTTTCCAGTCTATTTCTGAAATTCCTTTGTAGTAAAACAGCTACTTTGAGATCTTGTATAGAATGTCCTGGGAGATTGAAGTGTTCTCCTACTGGTTTCTCTGTCTTGTGATTCTTGATGTCAGATTTATGTCCGTTTATTCTTTGGCGTAAGGTTTGGCCTGTTTGTCCAATATAGAGAGCTGAAGGACACTGTTGGCATTTGATGGCATACACAATGTTAGACGATGAGCAATTAAATAGTCCCGAGATGGTATGTGTGATGTTGTTGGGGCCAGTAATGGTGTTGTCCGGGTGTATGTGGCAGCAAAGTTGGCATCTGGGTTTATTGCAGGCTCTGGTGCCAGTGTCCGTGTTAAGTCTGGTTGTAGTATTATTGTGGGTTAGGAGTTGTTTAAGATTGGGTGGCTGTCTGTAGGCAATGAAAGGTCTTCCTCCCAGAGCTTGAGAAAGAGAACTGTCATTGTCCAGGAGAGGTTGTAGGTCTCTGATGATGCGTTGAACTGTTTTAACTTGGGAGCTGTATGTGATGACTAGTGGTGTTCTGTTATTTTCTTTTTTGGGTCTGTCTTGCAGCAAGTTCTCTCTGGGTATCAGTTTGGCTCTGTTGATCTGTTGTCTAACTTCATCTGCTGGGTATTTTAGTTCTGAAAAGGTTTGCTGTAGATCTCTTAGGTGAGAGTCTCTGTCTGTAGAATTGGAACAGATGCGGCTGTAACGTAGTGCCTGGCTATATACAATGGACTGTTTGGTATGTTTGGGATGGTAGCTAGAGGCATGTAGATATGTTTGTCGGTCAGTTGGTTTACGGTATAAGGTGGTGTCTATGCGTCCATCCTGTATTTTTATAGTAGTGTCCAAAAAATGTATTTCTTGCATAGATTGATTCATTGTAAGGTTGATTGTGGGGTGAAAATCATTGAATTTCTGGTGAAAGTTGTCCAGGGTCTGTTGACCATGTGTCCAGATGATAAAAATATCGTCAATGTATCGCAGGTACAAGAGAGGTTTGAGTGGGTAGGAGTTTAGGAAACGTTGTTCTAAATCTGCCATGAAGATGTTGGCATACTGTGGGGCCATGCGGGTGCCCATTGCTGTGCCGCTGATCTGAAGGAACAGGTCATCACCAAATTTGAAGTTGTTGTGGGTAAGGACAAATTGGCAGAGTTTGGTGGCAAGGTCCGCTGTGGTTTTATCTGAAATGGTGTTCCTTATAGCTTGTAAACCATCGTTGTGTGGGATGTTGGTATACAGAGATTCCACGTCCATAGTAGCTAGTATAGTATTGTTGGGAAGGTTATTTAAAGATTGTATTTTCCTCAGAAAATCTGTGGTGTCACGTACATAGCTGGGAGCACTGATGGCATATGGTTTCAGAACAGAGTCCATATAACCGGAGACACCCACTGTAATAGTGCCAATACCTGAAATGATGGGGCGTCCTGGATTTCCTGGTTTGTGTATTTTAGGTAGAAGATAGAAAGTTCCTGGTCGAGGTTCTGTTGGTGTGTTGGTGAGGATCTGTTCCTGGATGTGTGGGGGTAGCTCCTTAACAATCTTGTTCAGTTCTTTCTTGTATTCTTGTGTGGGGTCTGAGTCCAATTTTGTGTAAAAGGCGGTATTGGAAAGTTGTCTGTGAGCCTCCTGAGTGTAGTCAGTTTTATTCATGATGACGACAGCTCCCCCTTTGTCTGCTTCTTTAATTATAATGTTTGGGTTGTTTCTGAGATTATCAATGGCTCTCCTTTCAGCATGGTTTAGATTTTGTTGTAAGCGATGGTGTTTTCTGGTTACATCTGTTTGGATTCTGTGGCGGAAGCAGTCAATGTACAAGTCCAGTGTGGTATTGCGTCCATCAGGAGGGGTCCATGTGGAGTCCCTTTTTGTGTAACACTTTTTCAGTGGTAGTTGGTGGTCAGTGTTCTGTTGGGAGGGTGGTTGTTGTTCTCCAGTGGGTTGAGAGGTGTTGTGTTGTGAAGTTGTTGTTTGTTCTGATTTGTCTTGTTGTTGTGTGTGTTGAAAATACTCCTTCAGGCGTAATGTATTACGTTATTCGTATGTATGAATAAGTTATAATTATTTTTTGTAGACATTTGGATGCTTGCCTAGGATACACCATTAAATAGAGAGGATTTTTCAAACAGTAAAATTTACAGGGGAATTTACAAGATGGATATAAAAACCAGTCTGCTGTGAAATATGGTATGATATTCTAATATTTTAACCATGGTTTTATTGTTGCAGGTAAGCTACAGCACACTATTTAAAAAGGAAACCTGAATAGCCTCCGTAAATTATAAGTATAATTTGATTTTTTTTCCCTCAAAGGTGGAAGCAAAATGGCACAGATATTGATCTCACCATGAGTTATCACTACAGGCTGCTTGGAGGCAGCTTGGCAATCAATAACCCACATAAAAAACAGGATATTGGAACATACCAGTGTTTGGTCACAAATTCGTTTGGAACAATTCTGAGCAGGAAAGCAAAACTCCAGTTTGCATGTAAGTTGCATGGATATTTTATTCCCTCATCAATTTTGTTTTTGCAAACAATGTATTAGGCAATTAAAACATCAATGAAATTTGCTATGAAATGATTGAACTTGCTCATCTTTCCCTTTTCATGCTGAATTCCAATATCTTTCCCCAGTAAACAGCAATAATGAGACAGATATACTGGTCCTTGCAACACACAACAATTATCTACAATCGAGGGAAAGGTCAAGAAAGATGAACACAATTAGGTTTTGCTTAATAGAGCTGTTGCTATTCCCTCACCCCACCCCTACCCCCTGGGATGCCTTCTTTCATGGTCCGATTGCTATTTGTAAGATACCTGCTCCTCACCCCGCTCTAGGTTGGAAAATGAAGTAATCACAAAAGTATAATGATGTCCAGCAGAGTCACAGAAATGTCACACATGGTAATTACCTTACTGACATTTAGTTGCATTAACAGGAATATACACCTCCGCACATTTGCTTTGTAATTGGCATGCCATTGTTGCTTGCACCTAAAATATGTAGCTGTCCTTTAAGCACAGGTGTATGTGTGCCCACGCATAGTGAAAGCAATAATAAAATCCAGTAGACCACACTCACGCACGCACACAAACACAGAGAGAGATGGAAAAGATAGAAGAAATGTATGCAGCCACATTCTTCCCTACACCAGAGAAGTATACGCATATCTAGGTATAAGTATAAGCCAGGGAAGTCAAATAGTGCTACTGCGGACACTGGGTCCTGAGTTTCCATTCCATGAACAGAACAAGGCACTGTTCACGAAAGGAGAGCTTTGCTCATGGACGAACCTGTTCTACTTAGAGGACACATCAGTGTGTAGAGCTCTTCCTTGAATAGAAGGCTATTGTGTTCATGGGGGGCAAACATCTGATCCAAGCCATCGGCAGCAATCCAGCCAGACAGCCTCATCTATCAAATTGGGCACTCCCCCCACTGTGGAAGCTTGAGACTGCAATTCTAAACACATTCAGAAGGGTGAAAGCCCCACTGAACTCAGTCGCTTATGAGAAAACAACACATTGGACCGATCCGTTAGGGTTCTCCGCTGCAGACGGCTCTAGATCACAGCCTTTGCCCTTTTATTCTTGCATCTCTTGTGAGAGCAGCTCTTCTTCAAAAAGCAGCTTGGAGAAAGTTGCACCTCCCCCACCCCCCACCCCGCCGCCACCTCCCTGCCATCCTCCTTTCGTCGTCCTCCATCTGGGCTGGCTGCCGCACTAAGAGAGCAATTGTTTTTAATGCTCATTAATAAAATATACTTCAAACGGCAGCCTCATGGAGCTGTTTCAGACATCGGTGCTGGTATTAATTATTAATCCTTTTCTGTTCCTATTACAAATTGCCTGTCACAGAGGTCATAGAAAGGAGGCTGCAGAAACAGTGATGGTTCACAGACTTGTGCATGTGTGCAAAGGTGGTCATTCCTGTCTGTTTCTGCCATGGTCTTAAGTCATTTTTCTTCTGACTGTTCAAAGGTAAAAGCAAACTGACTCATGGAAATGGCTATCAAAGCAGGACTGGAACCATCAAGACATGAAGTGCTTGGTGAACAGTCTGCTTTAATGCTCTCTGTGGAACCAGCACAGAATGAACTTCTCTACCCCCGACTCTGTGTTATCCCTTGTAGGGAAACGTACTGTCATAATTCACACTATGACTCGTGTTGTTCAGCATTATGGCTCGTTTGTGGAAAGCTGGTCAGGGGGATGTCAATTCCTGTGGAGACTATAATGTGTAGCCCACTTCAAAGTATTCAAGTGGTGATAAATTTGTATCCAGGCGCTTACTCGAGAGTGAGTATATTTATATGTGGTTGGTGGTGGTTTCCAGTCATCCTGGGTTAGGAAGCAGGCTTCTTTTTAAACATGCGCCATGAGAAAAAGGAAAAACCTCAAGCTGGCAAGAAGCTGAAAGGTTTCTTATTACGAAAGAGATTTATATGCATTTTATCAATGCATTTTGAGAAATCCTTGGGTTTGTTTTGACATATGCAATATGAGACTGAATGACTTAGTCCAAGTGGGAGTCCACAATGCATTGTATCAGGGGAAACTCTTGCAGAAATATGTACATGAGTCAAAACTGCATATAAAAATGTGTTTATTAGGAGAAATTTGCATGCTGATGAATTTTCATAAATATATATATATTTAAAAAAACACTAGACAAACACTATTTTCTGCAAAATGTGAAGAACTGAATTTAGGATTGGAAAAATGAGAAACCTAGAGAACCAAAATTGTCAGATCTTCCCATCCCTTCTCCTAGACAGAGGGTCTTTTCTGTAGCAGTACCCCAGTTGTGGATCTGTGATCTTGGAGACATTTAGCTGGCATATTTATTACTTTTAAAAATTATTATTATTACTATTATTAAACTTATACCCTGCCCATACTACTGGATTGGCCCAGCCACTTTCTGCAGCTTTCTAAAATCTTTTAAAAGTAATCAATATTGCCCATCATAAAACTTAAACCAAAACCAAAACCTGGTACTTCTGTTGCTGTTTACCTGCACTGGTTTGCTTTCAGTTCCTTTATTTGTAATTATTTATTTTACTTATTATATTTATATCCTGCCTTTCTCCCAAGTCAGAATTCAAGGCAACTTCCAACATTTAAAAGCACCGATTATAGAATACAGAAGAATAAAAATAAACTAGTTATAAGCAATAATTAAAACAACAACATCACAACATAGTTGAAACCAGCAATTAAAATACAATTTGTCCTGACAGCATCATCTGCGCCTATATTTCCTAAGCCTCTCTGAACAGGAAGTTCTTAGCCTGCTGTAGAAGAAGAAGAAGAGTTTGGATTTGATATCCCGCCTTTCACTCCCTTTAAGGAGTCTCAAAGCGGCTAACAATCTCCTTTCCCTTCCTCCCCCACAACAAACACTCTGTGAGGTGAGTGGGGCTGAGAGACTTCAGAGAAGTGTGACGAGCCCAAGGTCACCCAGCAGCTGCATGTGGAGGAGCGGAGACGCGAACCCGGTTCCCCAGATTACGTGACTACTGCTCTTAACCACTACACCACACTGGCTCTCGGAAAGAAAGAAAACAAAGAGGGAGCCATTTTAACCACTCTGCTCATTCATTCTTGGTACTGCCATGTTGCTTTAAGGGCTCTTACAGAGCCATGGTGATATACTCTGAATATGGCTTATTTGGTTATAACCCGTACATTCCATGAGCAAAAAGCTTATCCACTTTTGTGGATCCAGGTTCCATGTTGAGCTAGTATGGGGAGGAGAGAAGTGGCACATAAATAGAGAGGATCAATTACAAGCAAAGGAAAAACAAAAATTTATGCAGCTCTTTGTCTGTCTGTCTGTCTCTGATGAGGAAAGAAGCCTTGGACTCATTGTGCAAATTTACTGTTCATACCAGACAACATTCAATTATCTGCAGTTTGGTCCCCTCGATTAGGAAATCCAAGGCGATCATCCATGAATCCCTCATGTACTGTAGGCTTTAAGCCAATGGATTAGAAAGAACTGATATTAGTTTAGATAAAAGGCACAGAAGGAAGGACTTACTGATGTTTTTTGAATCATAAGAAGCCTGGTAAAAGTATAGCTTGGAGCTAATTTCAAGTACTAGTTCCTAAACTGTTGGTTAGCAGAAGCCAGGATCACAGTAACTGTCCCCTGCAGTGCAATAATGTTCAAATGCCATATAAATATATGGGCACATTGATCCCTTGCGCTGGATTAAATGATATCATCTGTGGCAGAGTCTAAGCTTTCTTAATAATCTTTATGGTCACAAGATCAAGAGAATTTATAGATGACAACTGTAGACGTTCTGCAACTAGATGTAAACTGCACCATTCAGAGCAAAATCTTCAGGTCTGCATATCTAAGAAGCTTGAGTTCTTGAAGACAGAACATTTCTGATGTCACATTTCCCAATTGTGTCTTTTAGTACTGTAATTAAAAATTGTTATGTCTACCTGAACTTCAGCTTGTACATTCATCATCATGTTTGTGGGATTTGTTATTTAATATTAATTTTAATTTTTTCTGTATTGTGGTCATAAAATAGAACCACCAGAGAGCTATTTTTAAATGATATTTTAAAATAGCTAAATAATTATAATGACAGTAGTAATAATAATATTAGTATATAAGGTAAAGGTAAAGAATCCCTGGATGAGTCCAGTCAAAGGCAACTTTGGAGTGCGATGCTCATTTTGCTTTTCAGGCCAAGGGAGCCAGCATTTGTCCACAGACAGTTTTCTGGGTCATGTGGCCAGCATAACTAAACCACCTCTAGCACAATGGAACACTGTGACAGAAACCAGAGCACACGGAAACGCCATTTACCATATACCTTGGTACTCAGACGGCTTGGCCCCCAAACAAATCGGCCTCTGAACACCGCCAACCCAGAAGTGAGTGTTCCTGTTGGTGAACATTTTTTGGAAGCCGAACGTCCGATGCGGCTTCTGATTGAATGCAGGAAGCTCCTGCAGCCAATCGGAAGCTGTGTCTTGGTTTTCAAATGGTTTCGGGAGTCGAACGGATTCCCAGAACAGATTATGTTTGACAGCAAAGGTACCACTGTACTATATTATATTTAGCATGTACTATATTAATGGTCTAATAGGAGTTCAGCCTTACCATCAGACTGACAATGACCAATATTTTGGGTCAGAACATCACCTGCACTCCACACATTAGCAATGCTCACCACATGCTTGAGGTGGTGGACGATTTTGTTGGCCTGAGTTCCACCATAACCAGCAATCTTTCCATCCCTGCTGAACTTGACAAGCATATTGGCAAGGCAGCTAAGGCAATGGCTCGTCTATTCAAAAGGGTATGGGAGAATGTGATGCTAACATTCAATACCAAGATGAAGGTCTACCAGGATTGTGTGTTGAGCATGCTGCTTTATGGAAGTGAGTTGTGGGCAACTTACAACCTGCAGGAACGATGCCTCAACACCTTCCACATGTGCTGCATCAGGAA